TTAAAAATTGTATAAAAGACATTCAAAGTGGCGATTTTGATGTCCTGAAAAATTAAACGCCAGTGAAACGGACATTTTCTCACAGAACGGAGAGATATCATATATATTGTATACATGTATTTTCTTTGAATTTTTTAAAAGTTTATTCATACCTATATTCATCCAAAAGTAAAAATGTCAGTTAATTCAGTGTAAGAAATTAAAACAAGTTTGTTTTGATGTATATTGGAAAGTTTCAATTTCGATATTTTGAAGAATTGGATGTAGACGAACATAATGCATCAGTGATAAAAAGTTATACTATAACTAGCACAATATAATCACACTGATAAAAGTATTTATTACGTATTTAAATCAAATACAGTTAATGACATCCTGTAAGAATTGATGAATTTAAAAGCATGTCTCATTTGATTTGATTTTCTTACTTCGAACAAAAACAGTGTAGGTCATTAATTAGCTTTACTGGCGGAGAAAGAACATTAGATGCCCCACTTTGCAAAATTGTTTCTGGCACATACGGGTATCTGAGTACAATGAGTCACGTTGCGTGGACTATCTTGATAGTGTCGTACATTCCAAACACACTCATTTCGGAACATTACATCAAATTCTAGTGTACTTCTGTCATGATGTATGTTATCAAATGTTTATGATACCATTAGAAACTTGTTTAGAATTAAATGATTTTTCGGGGAAAATGATAGGGTTTAGTTGTACTACAGATAAGATCAAAGTGCTGAAGAACAAGCTGTCCATTACATATGTACTTATAAAACGAAAGTCCATATTATCTTTCGATGATAAAGGAAGAAAATGACAGTCTATTGTTACGAGTTAAACGCAACAGAGAAGATAACGCAGCAACAAATTTTAATTAAAGAAAAAAAAAATAATTAAAGAAAAACGGTTTTATTTACAATAATACAAAAAATATGAAAGTAAAGTTTTTCACAATTATCCATGATTCAAATTTAATATCTCATGAAGTTAAACTCACAGTTCAAATTTAATTGTCAACAACTCAAATTTAATCAATGTCCAATGTACATAGCAGAATATCACAATATGTCCAAAAGCACCTCCCACATAGAATCACTGAATCCAAACTAATATATTACTAAGTTAACTGTATAATAGCACACAATCAGTATATCAACATCACACAATATCACAAATTAGCACAAACCTCGAAGTACAACCATGCCTCATATATATACTATCAATGAACAATCTAGAATACTAAACTACTTAGTGAAAGAATATTCCAGAATGAACATGAAAAAAACTTTCTTGAAAGAAGATGAATGGAAATGAAAAATTATATAAACATCAAATAAACAAGATTATTAAAAATTATAGTGGCATGAGTTGGTATCGGACCCACGACATCGAGATTATCAGTTCTGAGCTCTACATATTGAGCTATTCAGTATATAGATACTAAACACATTTAAAATAAAGCCTATATGCATAACACTATTCATATGATCATGACTGTGAAAAATCATGTTTTGTGGACCTAGTAATCCTGTCGATAAAGATTTTGCAAGCAATCTGATGTACCTCTTTAGTTTTTTAGTGCTTACACTTAGTTTTAAATTCAAAGGAAAATTTCTTAGGGGACCTTTAACGTTTGATTACGGTAAAATCATTATAACCGAAATACTAACTTAATTGAAATGCCCGTAACTGTGATATTTTTCGTTCATGTGTTTAAAATACTAAAGAAAGTAGCTCTATATATTTTCAAAACGAAATACTGTATTTCCGAGACAATTTACAAAGGCTTTAATTCACTATCTCATAAATCATCGAATAACCAGTACCACCCACCTTATCTCCAGAACACAGGTATGAAAAACAGGATCAACAAGGAATTGTAGCATTCAATGAACGCGACACCCACACGACTAAGCAACACGGGGGCACAGGTAAGTAATCACTGAAAAATTTACATTCAGGCTTTCAAGTTAAAAAAGTTCTCAATCTGCTCTCTTCAACAGTGTTCCAATTCTAGACATAAATATTTATTTTTCTCACGTACTAGTGTTATGTAATGGTATTAAGTTAAAATCGAATAAATATATATGGTATACAGTCCAAAGAAAAGAGAATTTAAAATGGTTTTAAGTTGCTGCTGTAAATAACCTATAACCTATAACTCAACGGATGGCCATGGCTTTATGTTCAATGCCTTCAATGTAAAAATGGAAAACAAGATCAACAAGGAAAGGTGGCGTTCAATGAACGCAACCCCAACACGACCCTACAACGTTTTCAATTTGCCGTTTTGGTCGTTTTTAGGGGTTCTGTTGTGCATTTTCTTGAGATTAAGTAAGAGCTGTTTAAAAATTATCACCAAATAAGGAGAATGACCGAAATTGTTTTATTATATCCATTATGTAAACAAAATATCTCCCGATTCATGCTAACTTTCATGAAAATTTTGAAATTTATCTAAAAGTAAAATACTGTGAAGTGAACAAAGAAAGTTATTAACACATTGCAAACGGCACTTACAATCCACGTCAATTAACAAAAAGATGTCAAAAATATATATAAATAATATTACTGCGTTAGTAATGCAGTAGAATTATAGTGATTGATATTGCAAAATCAGTCATTAATCGCACATAACATGTAAATAATTAATTAAATATTGAATCTTTTTACTTTTCATAAGGTCTTAATACATTTTTTCTAAAGATTGAATTTCTTGAAATATTTTGGCTCATCTGGAGGCGTGCAGCTTAAACATTTTCTGTATTCCGCTGTTGATTTTTATTTTAACCCGAAAGGTAATCATCAATGATGTATATCAATGTTGTATATTGCTACTGTCTTACACTGTAAATTATTACATTTAAATGACATCAAAAGTGTGATAATACAATGAGAAACAGTGTTCGACATGATATGTCATTTGTGCTTGTTTTTTTTTTTTTTTCGGAAACTCAGAGCAATGAACTGTAGACAAAATCAAGACACCTGCTTTTAAAACAGATTTATAAAGCATGGATGTCTAATATTAATGTATCTCCGTCGGGTGTCGATTTTCTGATTAAGTAACCTGCTTCCTATACGTCTAAACTTAAACGTAATTTCTGACCTGAAATTAAAAAATGCTACATGAAAATTTTGATTGAAAGAGTTATTGAGTCGTGAGATTCAGGCCGTTCTGAAAGCAATGCATAACTGTGAATTGGCTTTTCAGCAACAGAGAATTTTTATAAGTAATTACTGTCATTGATTAGCAAGCATTGCTAAAAATTTTGTCGTAAACAAAACTCAGAAATAACCTATGCAACTTAAATGCTGTAAATGAATCTTAGGCGGAAAGTTATACTAAATAGCTTACTTTATGGTAAATACATTTATCGAGTGACCATCTAGGTCAATAAATTAATAACAGGTGTTTGGCAAATCTTTAGGTAAAAATGGCCTTTCTAAAGACATTTGAATATAGGTGTTGTATTGATTGTATTGATGTACATTTTCTATTCTTTTAGGGATTTATTTTAAATCTTTAAGTATCAAGTATTCTTACAAGTTTAAAATAAAGAAATTGCTATATGTCCAATCAGTAAGAGTATTTTACATATGTAGCAACTATCATTTTTATAAAGCGCATTTTTTTTATAATAATTGTGTTCTGGTTTTAGAATATAAAGCCAGTAAAAGTCATTGCATGATCATTTAATGAAATCTTTAAAGTCAAACAGATATTCTTTTTTTATTTAGAAATGAAGTTTGTCAGTTTAGATGTCGTATCACACCTAATGTTGAAAATATTCTTTAAATTACAAAATCTGTAACTGATTTGATATCCTAAATTTAAGATACCATTGATATTTCGTCAGATTTTCACTCTGCCAGTCATACTCATTTCCTGTTGAAATATTTTAAATAAATTCAAACAGCCTTATTACTATTGTATTTCAAAAAGATTTTGTAATTTAAAGAATATTTTTAACATTAGGTGTGATACGACATTTAAACTGACAAACTTCATTTCTAAATAAAAAAAAGAGATATCAAATCAGTTATGTGTTCCGCCTCCGTGGTCGAGGGGTTAGAGTCGATGACTTCTAATCCAGTTACCTCTCTGGCGTGGGTTCGACCCCCGGGAGATGCTTTGGTAGTTTAGCACGGATGAAGGTAGTGTAGAACTGTTGTGACAATCCAGGAACGATGGTTAGGAAACTACCCGCCTATATGACTGAAATGCTGTTGAGAAAAGGCGTAAAATGAAACAAACAAACAAAAAAAAACAGTTATTTGTATCCTGCTGATTTTCCTACTTGTGCTGTTTTCCGCCTATGTTGAGAATCAACATCTTAGTATGATATTGTTCCTGTCCGCATTTTAAGGAATCGGCCTTACTAAGCGGTAAAATTCGTATTTCGAGCCCTATTCAACTTAATGTTTCCATTACGCTTAATAAGAATGTTAAATGGAAGTCGGCGTACTTTGTCTATAGCATGGGCGTACCTTTTCAAACGGGATGTTCCTATATTGCGTTATAAATCAATGTTTGTATTTTATCATGACAGTGGTATAATCGATATAATCCAAAACAATAAAAGATATACAAAGAACAAAAAAGTTTTACCAATATAAAACAAAATGTAAAGGAAAGTTCTAAAACAATGTACAATAATAAGGATAATTCTTTAACTTTTTAGTTAATTTGTAAATTATTACAAAACTTATAAACGTAAAACAAGAGCAATGCCTAAAATAGAAGCTGTCCTACTTTGAAACATCATCAATATAAATATGCTACATATAATTTAATTTCAATGTTTACAAAATGGGAATTTTCATAGCTACTGTACAAGAAATAATTATTATGTCATTGTTATTCAAGCACTTTTTTGTATCGAAAACTTAGAAATAATATAATTTTGCATGCTATGCCGAGTATCTTTTTTAAAAGATACTTCTTGTTGCTACTTCAAACTCTTTGCGCTTGTTACAAACGACTCCAGTTGTGTCGAATAATCTGATTGGTTTAATTTTAAACTGCGGATACCAGCGCGGAATACGACTTAGCCACTACAGATTTTGAAAATAAAATGTCAAATGATTAATAAAAAGGTAATGATATATATGTGGAGAGATTTGTAAAAACATGCCATCTGCCTCCTGTTTCCTTGTAATTGAATGGGCGTAAGATCATTTCTTTATGTAAATTAAAATACACACATTTGTCATCTGAGTTCTGGCACAGGACTAGTCAAAATATATTGACGTGCCAAAGCTTGATTCTGAGATATTTTCGTTCTAGGGCAGAATCTCGCTTTAACGTCAAAACCAAAAGGAGACCTTTCTGTGGTGAAACGTGGATTTCGATGTAAATGTGAAAATACAGACAATTTAAACTAAGAATTTATTCAGCAATACAATTTTAAGGAATTAACAGCACAAAAAGTGCCAGACTATCAACTTAAAAGAAAGTAAACCACGTTAGTTTCATTTCACCGTCTCATTTGTGTACCAACGCCGCCATATTGTGATGTTGCTACAGTAATGTAACATGTACGCTAAAAATCGATATTGTTCGGTACCGTGCGTGAATCCTGTAATTTTCATATTATTTTTTTTTTGCGTGGCTAAAAAAAATATGAAAAACTAAACAAATTATTCTTAATGTTGTTATTATTAATTATATTTATTGCTACATTAAAATAAATCGCCAGGAAATAATCAAATATTTTTTCTAATTGATTGAAATCTTTAAAATGATGCGGAGAAACTTTTAGTTTAGTCCTCTTTTTTACAAAAATGTTTATTAAAGGATAAACAAATATTTCATTTCATTAAAATTTATATTGTTACCACTCTGTTGTATTATCCCAGACTTCCCGAAATACGTCGGTCCGACGGACATGTCCGATAAATTTTGATCAGGTCCGACGAGTTTTTATTCCGGATCGGTCCGACTGTCCGGCTTTTATCCAAGCCGCATGTATACAAAATGGCGTCGCTAAAGGTGCCAAACCTTGGAAATATAAAAAATCTACGTCAGAGGAAAAGGCAGAACAGCAGTAAAAGGATAAAAAGAATAGACCTGAGACAAAATTTAATGAAAAATAGAAGCAAGACAGTGAATTGGTGGTGTATGATAGGGAGGAGATGAAAATGCGCTGTAAGGAATGTGCCGATTTTTACGGCGAAAAAAATAAAAACAAAAAGTGTCTTAGAAATACAAACACAAGTTATTCTTTGATTTTGATCAATTTTATTTGGTCCGACAGATTTCGTTTCGGTCCGACGGATTTTCATGGTTTGTCAGACCGAATGTCTGACAGTTTTTTTCAACTTTCGGGAAGTCTGTTATCCATGTTAGTATAATTATGTTAGTCACAACTTGCTGCATACTACAAACAGCAACTCCTTGCCTAGGAAAGGTTTGTTTTTCAAACGTGCATTACGCTATGAAAGTTTCTTGAATTAAATTGTAAATTCATGCACTAATTTTTCATTCCTCAACAGTTTTCAGAAAAGTAAAACTCGTTACTTCGATCGCCCATTTTTCGTTTGTCTGTATCTGAAAGAACCTGTGTACATGTACCATTTATCCGTGTAATAAAAGACTGTTATCATAGCATGCCGTAATGTCCTGGATATTTGGGTGTTGTTTAAGCGATGTTCCAGAGAAGTTATTGTCCCGGTATAGAAAATATATTCCACATAATAATATTTATTTTTGAAATGTGTCAACTATTCCTGAACGCCGACACCGGTACGCTGGCCAATATTCACTTCGGAAATGTTGACACTATTACGTAATAATTGATGCGCGGTCCTGTTTCTACCTTACTTAAATTCTTTGTGTCAACTTAAAATTTATAAGATTAAGTTTTTAATAAATAAATTTGATTTAAAGGTAAGTATTTAAATTTGAGCCGTGATTCCTTTCCAGAATCAGTTAAACAAGTTTCCATGCTGACACGGTCCAAATTGTAAAGAAAAGTTATTTTTAGATTGTAATTAGATCTACATGTATTTATTTTTCAGTTTATATACTTGATGATTTATTTTAAAGACGATAATCTTATGCTTAAATTTCTTTCTAGAATACATTTATGAAAAATGTTTAAACGGTGATAAGAATTTAAATGTGTTATGGTCCCGAGTTTCCTCAGTACATTTTCCCGGCTTACCATACGCTCTGAATTAACGCAATATATCCAACTTTTTAAGTTTTGAGTTTGACATTTATTTTTTAGGAACTATTTTCTGGTTTTCAATCTAAATTTACAAGAAAGTTAAAATCTTAATTTTAGTTCTATGTCAAAAAACTCAAGAAATATTGAAAAAAAAAAGAACTGAAGAGGCGCCGTGATTTCTTACCGATTTTATAAGTTCGTTTTCAAAAGCAACACCTTTTATATTTGGGCAGTAACAATCTGTATCTATTATTGTTTAAAATGAGCAAACGTGTTGCATAACCCTTAAATCTTATAAGATTGGACAAGAACCAAAGTAATCACAGACACTTGGGGTGTGGAGCACAAAACGCATTTAAAATCCAAATAGAATGTATATTTGGTGAGCCACGTTTGAATTTGTCGAAAGAGTTTGTAAATGGAGTAAAACGGCGATAATCTTGGTGTTTATTTTGCCTGTTGCATTGTTTATATTGACGTTGAAGTTTAATCATGGTGAAGAATTATATCTTCTGTGTGGATGGGCCAAAGGATTATGTGAAAATATTGGAAACGGAATAAAGTACATTGTGTTTTTGACGGTAGTTGTGCGGATTTTTTCCGGCGAAGATTTTTATCTTGTGTATTATTATAGACGTTGAAATATGATTTTTTTTCAAAACGGCTTATATTAAGTGTTTTTGATATATATATGATCAGTACATGTGCTGGGATTGATAAATATACATTTTATTTGCATATTAAAGGCGTTTTGAGCTCCACACCCAAGTGCCTATGAAAGAAATTAGCGACGCAGCGTTTTGTTCAGTATAAACATTGTAAAATAACCGCGTTGCAATTGATTCTTCAAATCGCACTTCGCCATGCATGTATTTTATAAAGAAAATAATTTCTTAGACAGCATAAAAATGAGATGTATGGAATAAATCGTTACTGCATACCAACATTATGAAAGTCTTTTGCAAAACAAAAAATAACAACAAAAAAATGAAGCGGGCACCTGTTTCATGAAATAAATTTCCGAGTATTTTTTCCCTGCTACCACGATCATTTTAAAACAATTTTCATACCTACGTGTGTGTGTGTGTTTTTTTTTTCTTTCTATCAACATCTTTAGAAAGATTTTTGGAGTAAACTATCAAGAATTATGGACATGCGTGGATAAGAAATGAAAAAAAAGAGAAATTTACATGGAATGTTCATGTATAATGTCGAGGCATCGCGTTTGACATTTATTCGTTTTATTATTGATAAAAATTATTTTGAACATTGAAAGTATCGTTTAATAGTTAATCAATATGATTATAAATAACAGACTGACAAATTCCTTAGAATGGTGTCTTCTCGTAGTCGCTAAAGCACTAGGAGTCCCGAGTCCGTACATTGTACGTTGCTCTTTAAACATATAAACCTCATATTTCTGCTCTTAACACATCCCTATTTTCATCATAATCGTGGAAAAAAAATCTATAGATACCAACAGGTCCCATGTCCTATATTTACTGGGAAAGATGAACAAAATAATTTTTTATAAACAAGGAACGGTTTAGTGAGGAGTTCATTTACAGAGTAGCTTTTCTAAAAAGATAATGATGATTCTGATATTTCTAAGAATGCTCTGACAATAACGAATAAGTTGTGCATCTGCTCAAATAAAATAATATTTTCATCCTTTCGTAGTTATTAATTTTTGCATAAATAAATGTCTTAAATACAACATTAAACTTAGCCTGGGTTCCAGTCTGTCGATTTTTTTATGTGCTTCTGTTCGGCAAATCGATTGATACTATCAAAACCAGAGATGTTGTGCGTTATCTATGACAATCGTGTATGAAATAGCGCGTATGTTATAAATAAGCAAAAAATATCAACGCCTGAATCCCAAGCTACATTAAACTTGATATTTTACTAAGAGTGTTTCGTCGTTTCTCAGTAACGCAGTACCGCATACACACCAGTGTAGTTATCAACAGTGTATTTGTCACGTGACATTAGCGGCGATGTCTTTATTTAGATAGTGCATGTGTTTATTTTTCTATAAAAATCATTATGTAAAGAATATTTTCACAAATAAAACATGGAATTGATGTAGATATGAACATATAAAGATATCGTAACAAATTCATTCAAATATGAATTCAATTCTTATACGATTTTAGACGGTTCAAAGCTTGCGCTCAAAATCCCGGCGCAAATTTCACCACAGAAAAGGTACTTTTTAGGTTGTACGTAGAGGCGAGATATTGCCCAGACACGAAAATAGCACAATATCTCGTCGCGAAGTACAATTAGTTGGACTAGCACAGGACCAGTTATGCGACCCCCAGTTATGGTATCAATAACATTTTCATTGAAATATTTCTGACATTTGAATTTCTAGTTAATAATAATATGCAATATGTGTCTAACTAGATCTATCTGTTGGCAACTCAAATTCTTATGAATTCAGGGGTACTTTTTACTAGCTTATAATTATAAGCTAATGTTTATTGTAATATGTAAACCGACTTAAAATAAAGTTTCTTGTATCCCGGTGTAATCTAAATTCGGCGATATAAGAACAAATGTCAATGGCATTTTCAATAAACTACAGTAATCTATAATTATACTTGATATAATTTTACTACAAATATTTAAAAGTTACTTTAAGTTCATTTCTAACAATGTAATCGTTCAGCGGTTGCCAGATATAAACAAATATGGCTGATGTAAAATCTTCGGTACAAGTCAACCCGGCCCCAAGTTAACCCGGCCGCAAGTCAGCCCGGCCCCAAATTGGTCAACCCGGCCCCAAACCAATGTTATTTCTGGTCAACCCGGCCCCTTTTTATTTATTTTTTTGTGCTTTAAAATATAAACACTTATCAAGAAATAAATAAAAATTCACAACAAAAACAACAACAAAAGTTTAACGATAATATCTTT